AAGTAAGTCAACACCTGAGCTAGGAAGTCCTTGTGGCTGCGGGAGGCATGGTGGAACCGTTTGATGAGCAGTGCTTTGATCTGCTGATGTACAAGCTGAAAACCTTTATACTGTCGGGACCCTTTGCCTTCGTCTTGATCTCCTGCTGTGCCTACTGGCATTCGAGAAGTGTCATTAGTTTTCAGTGCAGTTTGTTCAGCTAGCTTGTTCTCAGTAGAAGTTTTGCCAAGAGTAGAACCATTTTCTTGAGTGTCTCCTAGGTTAAGATGAAAAGGGGCAGAGAAGACACTTTATCCTCCATACATGAAGGTAGCACAAACATTTTAATCAGCTCCAGATTTTACCAACTGTATATATCACATCACCAGATTGCTTTAATTACAACTGTTGCACTGTGGCTGTATCTAATGGCATCATATAGGTTAACACTCTTCTTACTCAGCAGGATGAACAGGCTAATCATGTATGTAGTTTACGAACTAATGGTCAGCAAAGTACTTTTTATAAAACTACTAAAACCATTGACATCTGGGGGCTTGGCACTCCACTTTTATTTACATAGTTAAGAACCTCATCCAATCTAAATAAAAGCCTTTCTGCTGACTTCATCTTGTTTCTCAGATATCATGTCGGGCCCTAAAAACAGCTATTTGCTGACCAAATTCATTTTGGCAAGAACACCATACAAAGACTGAAAGTTCTGAGGCTCTTCTTTACTTGGCATTCAGAATAGAGAACAGTCCCAAGAAAAGTTTATCAAATACTGATTCGTGGATCTATACCTGCTTTTTGCATTCCAGGATCAGCTTCTGCCGTGACCTTTAGGAAAACCTGCCATAGACAAATACATCTCCTCATTAGGAATAGAACAAGTACAATAACATGACCTCTGGAACACTATACGTCTTCCTTTAACGTAACAGAAAAAAATTTAGATACCTTTTCAGTACTCCTGCTTATTACACAGTCAGAGGTCTCTTACGAAATATCTCAGACAATAAAGAAAGGAACAAATGAAGATACAAAGAGAGATTTCAGGCTAATGAGTCATGTTCCACAAGGCTAACATGAAGTAAGGCTTGGATCCTTTCTCTACGCCCATCCCAAAGACTTTCTGAGTGTGCCAGAGCATACTTGACTAGGTTTTGAAGGGGTATTAGGAATTAATAAGATTACATGTTTAAGAACAGGAACTGTCTCAGAAAACATTTTAGGGACTGATGGTAAGACCAGCAGATATTTTAATGTTTGTTACCTCTTCAAGTGGTGTGTCTGAAACTCCAAAACTGCTGAGTCCTAGGTCATCCAATGTTTCCTCCAGTTCTCTGAAGAGACTGGCATAAGATCGCTGTTTAAAGTGTTTATTGGGCAAAAGGTAAATGAGTTCCTGACCAATGCTTTCAATTAATTTTGCTTCTGGGATATGATGATGAATTACTTCTGCTAGCTCATTCAGATCTCCTGTGAAAAGTCAAAACAGTGTTCAAAGAACGAATATTTAACCATGTTAAGTGTGATTTCAAAAGCTGTTGTTTGCACTATACAAAAGGGGACTGCTCTATTACATAACTCAGAGATATCTCAGTTAATTCTGTACTAGACTAGGCTATGTTGCTAATTATGCTCTGGAACTATGTAGCAGGAAGCTATTTCAGGTCTGTTAACAAAGCACAACAAAATCTTCAGGAATATCTACTTAAGTTCTTCTCTTATGTAGAAAAGCCAAAACAACTTTTTCTGAGAAAGTTGGGTTTGTTAGCTATGCTTCAGTTTTCATTAACAAATTACACATTTTGGTGCAGAGTAGTTCAAAACTCAGCCTATACTTCTAAAGCACACAAACTTCCAGTTCATCATCTGTACCTGAGACCACATACACATCAAAAAGGGGCAATGGTAAGCAAAACCACAAAGAAACCTTATCAAATTCATGTTACAATACAGTACAGATGTTAGGCACAAGTACTGAAGAAGTGGGCCTCAGCAGCATTGATCTGTAAGATGAGATTGCAGCATAACAGGAGACATAGCTATGTGCTGGAATGCTGAACCATCCCACTTCTTACCATCCAGTTCCTGCTCTGGAGCTCCTCCTTCTTCGTCCCGCCGTGCACAGCTGGAGCAGGAGCAGGAGCACCGAGATCCACAGCTACAAAGTGACTAGCATGGACAAGCAACAGATACAAAGATGAAAGTGCTTCAGGTACACGCAAAACAGGATGTAAGGGCTGTCAGCCTTTGAACAGCTTGAGTCAGTGAAAAAATATGTCATATCTGGAGCAGCTTGAGCATATTATACTGAAAGTCATCTGAGGACTGGATTAAGCAATGCCGAAAACATAAAACCACCTGCACAAAGCATATCTGTCAGTTCTAAATTGCATGCAAAATACCTGGGAAAATACAATCAGCAGTGGCCATGAGTATACAGATCATGTTGCTACTAAGACTGGAAGCGCTACTAACAGCAGAAAGAATCCAGATCCCCACTTCTCAAGCTGTGCGAGGCTCGTTTAGGTATGGGTAAATGTAGACTATTCTGGTATCTGAGCTAGTTACTAGACTACACCACGTTTACAACCACTGTGCTGCAAAAGCAAGTATCAGAAAGACCTGTATATGGACAAAGACAAATTGGTTGGTAAAAGTTTAGACATACTTAACTGACAGGAGTGAACTATAGACTGCTGAGGGCTTCATAGCCCCCTATTATTTTCACCTGTCTGGCTGAATATATATTTATAAAACCAGAAAAGATTTTTACAGAGACACTCGCATATCCATATAATTTCATTGAGGTGTCATCAAATTTTCTCATTGCTTTCTTCATTTTGAAGTCAGTTCTGTACACAGCCTCAAGCAGCACTTAATTGCTTCTACCTTGGTGCAATGCATGAATATGTGTAAGTATTTTTCAGATTACACATGCAGGGAGGGAGCTACATACTTACTGTAGCCCTTCTAAGCCTGGTGTTTTTCATCTTGCGAACAAGAGTGAGATAGAAACCAGACCCAAAGCAGTTCTTTAGGAATACAGGAGAGCCTGAGCAGAAGAGTTTCCCTTGGGATATGATGGCTACTCTGTCTCCAAGGATGTCTGCCTCATCCATGTGATGGGTTGAGAGGATTATGGTTCTGCCTAGAAGGAACAAGGAGGAATGTTCAAGGCACGGACTCTCTCTGGAACTCAAAAACGTGCTTAGTTTTTTGGCAATTAATGCAGGGTTTTCTCTGCACCAGAGACAGGTGCCAGGTTTGCCACATCCATAGGCATCTGTTCAAAGAATCTTGTTTGCTTATATTCATATGCCAGTACTCATGCCAGTTTACACAGCAGGCACATGCTGCATCTATGACAGGTTTAAAAAGAAAAAAAAACCAAAACAATTTCCACTCTCAAACCTGTTACCTGAGCGATACTTCAGCAGAAGATCCCAGATAGACCGCCTGGAATACGGATCAACTCCAGAAGTGGGCTCATCCAAGACTATCACCTTTGCTTCACCCACAAAAGCAATGGCAACAGACAGTTTCCTTTGCATTCCACCTACCAGAGGACAGACACATCCAGGAGTCTGAGATGAGTTACATAAGTGGCAGGGATGTAATTAACACTGCTTTTCAGTGTAGAGACAAACTGGTACAAGTAAAACAAAACCCATCCTCAGACAAATATTTCTGCAAAGTTAAATCAGTAGTCACATTTTTCTTCTGAAGTTCAGAACAGCTTGTTCAAAATTATTTTTTTAAATATATTTTTTATCTACATGTTGCATTTTCTGCTTCTTGCCAGAAGCAAAAGCAGGAAGATAACGAGATTTTCACGTTCTCATGTGAAACTAGCCAACTTTTATAGTTGCAATCAGGACAAAGTAGTATAAGAACACCTGGCTGTTTATTCAAATCAGCTTTTGAATCTGAAAGTACAATGTGTTCAAATACACTATGTGCATTTGTACCTTTAGAATGAAAGAAATTACTCCTACCAAATAATACAGTATTATATAGTACTGACCCAAACAGTGGAGCAGCATGATAGTACAATATTTCATTACCTTGAAATAATAGAATATTGTATTTTGTTTTTTTCTTACACTGACAGTTTTTTTTATATATATACTAATTTAAAAATAACAGCTTTAAGTATATTTGAATTTGTTGTATATTTATAAGAAACAGAAGCTTTAGGGACAGGTTGTGCCAGCTTTACTGTTCGTACAGTCCCGTTTACTCCTCAAGAGTGAAGACCTCCCCCGTGCACAATGATGTGTCAGAATATGGCCTCAAACATGTAATTCAACCAAAAATTGCCCAAAGACAAAGAAAAGGAAGCAGAAAAAATGTCTTAGAACAATCCTGTGGGCACCTGACAAATTCTGAGCCTCTTCATTCCTTTTATGGGTGAGGCCCATGTCTTCTAGCATTGTTTCCAGTTCTTGCTCAGCTTCATCCCTGGATCTCCCTTTCAGTTGAGAATAAAACAAGATGTGCTCTGCTACAGTAAGGCTGTGAAATCAGACAGAAAGGCACCAAGACAATTTAAATGAATAAGCAGATTTTTTTCCCAAGTAGCAATAAATTCACTCTAGCTTTATCTTGCTAAAGGAAGAGGGGCTGCTTTGCCCTAAATCTGGATCACAGATCTACTCTGGGAGAAGTGCCTCCGAGATGTATCTACTGCCAGCACAGTAAGAGAAACAACACAGGTTTTGGGGATGTGTCAAGTATGCAGACTGGGACCCTTATTCTTAAACCTAGTATGGAATGATACTTACTGATTGAATAAGATGTTGTACTGAGGGCACATGCCTAATCTGTGCCGAATGGAGTCCATGTGAGTCTGAATATCCAGGCCGCCAATCAGCACAGTTCCAGAGGTGGGAGGGAAGAGGCCTGTCAGTATCGACCTGGGAAAATAAAATGAGGAAATTCCCCCTCTCCTATCTTTCTGTGCCAGATTAGGAAGATGCATTGCATGATTCCACTAGATGGAGCATGACGACTTCTTACTATGGGCCTTGATGAAACAACTCCAGTAAAAAGCATACATATAAATACTCATGCCCTGCTACAGTGAGAATCCTGTGGATCTGCTAGCGTAATTTTTGACACACCTGTCTGTATGGTTCTGGCCTGCATTAAAAAAACTGTTTTAGTCAGCTACTCTGTTTCAGAGGAGTTTGTTCAGCATGTTACATCACCCCTATGTACAAACGGGTCTAAAATGAAGCTCACTAGGACCAAGATAGAGAGTAATGTTTTGAGGTCTCCAGCCATGCTGACTCATGCCATACATCTTTATTTTCCGTAAAATAGAAGGGGGCCAAATGTTATGTTGCAAATGGGTAGAACCCATTACTAGACTGGGATGAATAATGGATTTTTCAGTTCTGAAAATTTCAAAGCAATAAAAATTTTTGTTTTTATCAGAAGAATAGAAAAACAAATTTTCAAAACATTTCAGCAGATTAGAATGCTTTTATTTTGGGTCAAACATATTTCTTGCGGAACAATTAAAAGAATTAAAAGGCAATTTAAAGTGCATTTGAAATAAAAGTCTTTTAATTAAAAAACTAAAGTGTTCTGATGGGAAACATCATAATGAAACACTTCAGTTCTTTCAACATTTGGTGAACTTGTCACAGACTCGTGAAATATTTTCTTCACCAATTAATCCTATTTTGCCAAATAAAGTTCTGTATAAATAAAATTAAACATTTCTAAAGTCCAGCTTCCCGAGACGCTAGGGTTCTAGGACTAGAGGAACGTTTTGATCCGGACATGGATCTTGCATTTATGTAACCATTTTGTCTAAAGGGGGCCTATATTTTATACTCCTTTGCACGCAGACCAAAGAATGTGACTGAATTGAAGCCTGTTAGACAGGGAAACCAAGAACACGTGGAGTGTGGTGGCTTTCAAATCTTCAGCTCTTTCAGCCAGAAGATCCTTCTCCCTCTTCACCTATCGGGAGTTTGGCCATGGGAAATGAATTCTGGGGAAGAGAATTGCTTCCTTCTCTCTAGACTTTCACTTGTTTGTGTCATGCATTGCCTCTGTCCCAGGGCTTTAGCTAATCCAGGATATCTTCTCTTTGCCTAGGGGCAGCATTTCCCTGTCTGGAAAAAGCTTGATGTTGTGCGTCAAGCTAGCTGCAGAGGTGGTAGAGGGACAAGGGAAGAGTGAAAAGAGAAGACTGCTCCTCAGAACAGAGCAATAGAACACTGTCCTGGATTTGCTTCTTCTAAAATACAGACTTACATGGTGGTTGTCTTTCCTGCTCCATTGTGACCAAGGAAGGCTGTGATCTGGCCCTCATAAAAAGTAATATTCATCCCATCTACTGCTGGCTTGGGCCTGTTGGCAAAAATCTTCACCAGGTTCTGAATGCATACTCCTGGAATCAATCCTGTTGGCTCAGGCTCAAAGAAGGTATTTACTTGAAAGGCAAGAAATCAAGAATGAAAAAGAGTAAAAGCACATGTTTTAATCCCAGTTTTGAGGATGACACATCAGGAAGTGCACAAGCAACAGCACATACCCAGTAAAATACAGCATCATGTGCCAGGGCCAGATTCTCCAGTCACACTGGTACCAAACTGAGGCAAGATTTCTAACTGCAGTGTAATTTAATTAGATTCACCCACATATCAATGACAGGAGAAGCGGAGCCCAGAATTGTAATGGTCTGTGGAGAGGTAACTCATTGGATCAGGTGAAGCTGAACATGCTTTCTGTTTTCATTGCATAGCAGGAAGATTGTTTGGGATTGTTGTCTGTAGATACTTAGACAGGCCGAGAGATTACATTAAACAAACAGCAGGTTGCCTTTCTAGCCAGGCTGAAATCTGCCATTCAAATCATCTGCCCAGCTGTGCATTCTTTTACCATGATGCTTTAAAAAAACCCCAACATTTGCCTTTAATCCTGGTAGGTGAAATTTACCCCCTTGCTGAGGCCAGCTCAAGACTTAGGCAGTACCTAATATGAGCACTACATGGGATGGCTTTCTCTCAGGATTAAAAATGCATTATTGTAAATAGCACCATCAGGATGTTTTATTGCATCAACTTCTAGACAAAACAAACTTCCTTTGAAGTAAATTAAGCCCTTGGGCAATGTGAATTATAGGAGTTGAGAAATTTAAACTAAAGACCCTGTCCACTTTTGTTTACACAGAATGCTTAAGGCTTTGTAGGGAGGCTTGTTTTGCAATTACAGTTTACTGAAATTGTTCAGTACCCAGCAGGCCTATGTGGAGAGCAGCCAATGCCATCTGGGTGAAATGAGCCCCACCTCCACCAGTGGCTTGTATGACTGTCATTATAAACAATACTCAGGAAAATTCCCAAATGTGTTGTACGTGAGAGCTGTGCATACTACAGAGCAGCTGAAATAATTAATCTAGAATGGGTAGCTTTATTTTAAATAAAATTATGTTTATGACAAACTTTTCTTTCGCTTTGTGAAGGAATCTAGGTTTCCTTTTATCTTACCGGGCCAAATACAAGCATCCCTGGTTTACAAAAGTTCACATGGAGTCCGGCTAGATAGTTCTGCATATATTGGCAATTGAGGTACCATCCTTGGTTTTATATGTATCATGAGCAAATTCATATTTGCCTGCAAGTGCCTCAGAATTTGTCAGTGACTAATTCCCTGATGATCTCCCCCAGTATCTGCTTTGCATCACCTGAAGGACACTGGCGGAGGGTTGAACTCCCTTTTTTTGTGATTCATATTTCTCCATTCTGATCCTATTCCCTCAGTGCATTTCTGGGCCATTTAGGTCTTTCTTCAGAGGTGGCAGCATTTGTGGGGGATGTGGATGGAGTTTTGGTAAAAGCTCTGCTTAAAACGTATCAAGCAATTAGGACAGATTTATTGTGTGTCTGCCCTGCTCTGCTAACCTGTGCTAGTATTGGACTGCACTAGAGTTAAGCCATTAGAACTATTCTCCATTTCTCAACCCATTACTCTTACACGAAGCACTAGCTCTTACATGAAGCCATTTTGGAAACTGTGTCCTCGAACTGTACCAGGTCTGCTCTTGGCTTCTCTACATGTCTCACAGTTCCTGTGTGGATGGCTGAAAGGGAAGGCAGGCTTTTTTGTGCAGTGACAGGCAAAGCCCTTCCTCTGTGGCCAGCTGGAACCTGGGAGCTGACGAGTACAGCACCACAAAGATAAGGCAGTACTAGGAGAAGATTGGCTGAAATAACCTTTGCCCTCTGCCTGTCTTTTTTCTTTTGAAGTCCTGTCCTGTTTCCATTCACCCTGAATGCATGTTTTCAGTGCCTACGTGAGGAGCTCTGATGACCCCACTTTTATCTCTAGCTTTTCAGAAGAGTCAGAGTGGGCCCAGAGCTGTCTGTAACAGTTACTTTTGCTACAGAATCCACATGCATTCCTCTGAGCATCACATACAGAAAACTCCTCTGGCTCCCCACAAAAGACGACATTGGGACTTGAAAACAAGGCAGGTCATTCAGGAATTCTTAGGTGGTGGCTAATGTCAGCATCAGAAAAGGCTGCAGGCAGACACACAGAGCACTTCAGATAACCCCCTCTGTCTCATTTGTAGTTGCAAATTTTAACAAAAAAAAAAGAGGGCCAAAAAAAAAAAGGGGGGGGGGGGCTAGGAGGGAAGAACATTCCTCTCAGGCTAAGTATTTTTATTGAAGTCATGACTCTGTTTAATTCTAAGAAGTCAATGTATGTGTCTCTGGTGCTTCCCTCAGCGTGAACATAACTTGCTATAGAAACAGCCTGCATTTGCATGATAAAAAACAAGTTACAGAGCTCTTCTAGAAGGCAGCTCTCTTATGCATGGTGGCTAAAATATTCTAAGGGGTTGTGAATGTAGAGGAATCAGTAAGAGGGTAGCTGGGAGAGTCAGTGCCTCTCCTGAGCTTAGCTCTGGCAGTTGCATGCTGTCCTCTGTAGCACACTGGGCTCTTGTAGTTTGACTCCAATCATTCCAACCTCTAGTTTGTTATGAAGTACAATGAGTATAGTATCTCAGAAGTACTCAGGTTGCTCTTTCTCCTTACTATTAATTTCATCTTTCTCCTTACTATTAATTTCATCTTTGTCCTGGACATCTGTCTTCGGCTTCCCCTGCTCGCCGGGTTCTTTTTCTCGTTTGTGTTTACATTTTTTGTTTTTACCATCCTTCTCCCCCTGGTTGTCACTCTTTTCTTCTGGCTTTTCAGGTTCTTCAGATTTCTTTGTTCTGTTTTCATTTTCTTCCCCTTCCATAGCGTTCTGATCCACACAGCCTTCTGACTCTGGACTTTGTTCTATATAAACCAAAAGTAACCAACATTTAATTAACCAAAGTTTAATTTCCTCTTATCTCTAGGGGTGTTTTGAGGAAAAGGAGGTAGTCCTAAGCCTTGAGCTCTCCAAGAGCATTAATCATCCATACTTTACTCAGGTTAGGAACACAACACTCAAAGCCATCTAGCTTAACATCTGCTTCACAGTGTCAGGAACAGATATTTAAGGAAGACGACTGACAATTTTGCAATTATAGACTCAGAGTAGAAGATCCTAACTAAATTTAGCTACATGCTTTATATTTTGTCCATGGAGCTCTAAGACCAAATTCTTCATCACATGAAGAGAAAGGCCATACAAACATTTCCCAGACTTACACGGAGCGAGAGGAAGAAAAACAAAATAAAAAGGTTAAATGGAAAGCAAACTGGTACTTAGATTAAGAGACTAGCTCCAGGCCGGAGTGAATGAATTGGTATTAACTTTTGTACAAGAATTTCTGGCTTTCCAATTCAGTCTTAGACCTTGCTGCCACAAAGGAAAACAGTCAGATAAAATCACTAATGGGGACAGGCTTGCAGCAGGAAGAACAGTGATGTAAGAAGAGGGAGCCCCTGAAGGAACTGTTTACATAACACAAATTCAAGCTGGCAGCCTAGAGTGCAACTAGCACAACTGTAATTTATCAGATGGCCTAGGACTTAATTTTGTTGTGAAATTTCACCATAACTTTCTGCTAAGAAATTTTAGCCCATAAAACTGTATAAAATTACCTGGTGCACAAATAGCAACATAAACAAGTTCACCGCGTCACCTAAAATGGCAAAGTGGGGGATACAAAAGTGCACTGATAGAAGTAAATTTTAAAAGTACCAAGATGATTTACCAGTTTAGCTTCATTTTCAGCTGTGCATTTATGTTATCTGACATTTTCTTATCCAGTTTTCTACCCAACACATTAACCAGTTATGATAAATTAAGAAAATGCTTAGTATCACCCTTGAAGGAAAGATATGAGTTGAGAAAAGTTCTACAGTTGTTCATGTAAGCTGAGGCACCAAAGAGTCTTACTTCTTCAAATAGGTAAGAATCACGTGCCTCCTACAAAGGAATTAATCAGATGACCTTTCCAAGTGTCCCTGCTTGAGAAAACCCAAGGCAATGTTTTGTAGAAGAGAAGATGAAATAAGTATCAGCACACTCAGGGTAGCTGAGATAATCATGAAATAATTTAGATCAGAAGAGACTTCCAAAGATCTCCAGTTCAATCCTCAAAAAATAGGGCCAATTCAGATCACAGTGACTATCTCCAAAAATGGAGATTTCACAACCTTTCTGAGCAACCTGTTCCAGTGTTCTAACTACCTTCACAATAAATTTTTTTCTTTTATTGAATCAGAATTCCTGTTCTCCAGCTTACATCCATTGCCTCTCATGCTTCCAGTAGACACATCTGAGAAGTCTAGCTCTATCTTAGCTTTCTCTCTTCAGGCTGAGCAGATCCAGATCCCTCAGCATGTCCTCGTATGTTATATGCTTCAGCTCCTAATCAACTTGGTGGCTCTTCACTGAGCTCCCTCCAGTAACTCTATGTCTTCCTTTTAATGAGGATCCCCAAACGGGACAACACAGTACTCCAGATGCAGTCTCACAAGTGCTGACTAGAAGGGAAGAATCACTTCCCTTGAAATGATGGCTATACTCTTGCTAATAAAGTTCAGGATGCATCTGGTCATCTTGGCTACACAGGCACACTTGATGGCTCATGTTCAACATGTTGTCAACCAGACATTTTCTACAAAGCTGCCTGCCAGCCAGGTGGTGGCCAGTCTGTATTGTCTTGTGGAGTTATTCCATCCCAGTGTGCTGGTTTTGGCTGGGATAGAGTTAATTTTCTTCACAGCAGCTGGTATGGGGCTGTGGTTTGGATTTGTGCTGGAAACAGTGTTGATAACACAGGGA